AACGTTACTCCATAATTTGATTTAGCAAAATATATTATCTCATCATTCAGACCTGGCTCCAATTCCCCAAACTGATTGCAAGGAAAGGCCAGCACAGTGAAATGGTATGGTCCAAACTCTCGCTGGAGTTCCTGGAGCATGTTGTAATTTTTTCCTGTGTGCTGACAGTAACTAGCCACGTTTACAACCAGAGCTGCCTTCAGACAAATAGAAAATTAGAAAAGAAATAAAAAAAGAAAGCTGATCAAATCATTACTGATAAGTATCTTTCTTTCTCATTTATCTTGGCTATTTCAGCACAGAAAAGTCTATGTTTCACAGAAAAATCTAGTGTTTCACAGATCAGTTTCACTATTAAAAAAATAGACAGCATTTAAATCATAGGTATTAAGTAGAAGCAACTATACAATTCAGACAAAGCAAAGCACTTTTTAGTTCACTTTAGTTTATGTGAATTTATGAAACAAACTTACTTTCTGCCACTGAAATAAAAGTTTGCCTAGCACTGCAAGCATTAGGAAAATCCTAACATCAATTGTTCAAATGAATGTATGCATTTAGTCACCAAATTCAAGATTTTTAGTCAACAGTGGTTCACTGACACAGACACCTACTGACTATGCTTACATTTGTAGTCTTTATAATAGAATAAAGAACAATGTAAGAACTGATCTATCAAACCAGACCCTGCTGGTAATTATCAGATACTTCTGCCAAGTTCAAAAATTGAAGCTGATACAGCCAGATTCAGTTTTTAAAGTTTGCAGAGGCATCTGACAGTTACCAACAGAGTCTGGTTTGATAAGCCAGTTCTTACATTGTGCTTTATTTTATTATAAAAACTGCAAATGTAAGTCAGTTAATTTCTGTTTTTTGCAGGGGATATTCCTGGTTCCTGAAATCAGATAGTAGAGAGAATGAACTAGTGAAAGTTTTCAGTTTATCTATTTATTTTTAACTTCAGTACCTTGGATTTCCATTTCCAGATATTCCTAACGTGCTACTATTACGCAGAAAGAATACAGCGGCAAGTCTGCCTGACCATCTAAAAAAATTGAAATTACTTACTTTGCCTCGATATCTCTCCAAGGACATGGTTCTTCCTTTCCAATCCTTCACTTCAAAGGAATAAAAGTCTTTGTATCTGGGTTTTAAGAACTTGAGCTGCAGCAGGCCTAGTATGGCTGTGCATAACACCATAGAAATGAAAATAATGAAAACCTTGTTTTTCAGCTTTGAGCTTTTTTGTGTATATGTTGCAAGGGGCAGAGACGGCTCCATTTTGGAGAATTTTTTAGGGGAAGTTTCAACAGGCCTGGAATGTGAGGAGGAGCTGAAGCCCAGCCACAGAAAGCTGGGATTGGAAGAAAGCTGAGGATGGGAGGGAGGGAGGGAGGGAGGGAGAGAGCTGACTCTAGTCTGGCTGAATTTTTCATTTTGTTCAGATCTGATTGTATAAGAGGCTCTTAAGGATGGGATGCTATTTGTAAAGTATCTACACCAGTGTTTCTCAATCTTGGCAACTTTAACATGGGTGGACTTCAACTCCCAAGTATGGGTGGCTGGAGAATTTTGGAAACTGAAGTCCACTCATCTTAAAGTTTCCAAGGTTGAGAAATACTGAACCACATAATCATATTAGGACATTTTAACAGATGTCCCTTTGGGCCCATTGCCCTAACCGCACTAAAAACCCTGAGATGGTACATCAGCTTTCCTCAGTCTGGAGCTGTCCAAATACAAATGTTTTGAAGTTTTCATAAACTCCCAATCATCGCAGCTAGCTGGGGCATAATGGGAGTTGATGTGCTATACATCCTATGGGCTGGGATGTATAGCACATCAACTCCCATTATGATCACATGTTGTATGCTTAATAACTACCACAAAACATTGTAAAATCAAGTGTGGTCATGCAATGCCTCACTTAACAATGACCACACCACTTAACAGTGATTTTTTCAGTTCCAATTGTGGTCATAAGTCGAGGACTCCATGGAACTGATCAGCATTTTTCAAACGTAGCAACCTTAACAATTGTAAAGATCAGTTCCCAGAATTCCTCAGCCAGAGTTGAAGTCACACTTCTTAAAATTGCCAAGTTTGAAAAATACTGCAATAAATTCTTTTTCCTTTCCTCTGTTAAGATAGAAGCATGAAACCTTTGAAGTTTCCTGAGAGTTGTATGTGCCCAATTGCCTTAGGAATAGCATGCCAGAGTGGCCATGCTTACTGGAGATTTAAGCTGCTCTCTAATATAGTATTTCTCCTTATCTAAAGACAAGTAGAACTAGATGGAGAGTGATCTCTAGCTTGGCCTGGATGGTAAAGCATAAATTGGTATCATTCGTATCCTGATGACAGCTTAGTATACATTGATTTATAGAAGTGATAGAATGCCAACATTTGCAGTTTTTTGTATGCACAGTTCAAACAAATTGGTTTTTTTATTTAAAAAAAACTTTACTTCTATTAGATAAAAATCATTTTCAGAAAGCATATTTTTTAAAAAGCTATATACATAAATATATGTCTATGAATGGATATGAATTTTTCTCAGGACTTTTTTAAAAAAATGCAAATTAATGAGAAAGCAAGATAAAGTAAATTTGAAATGGGAAAAATGTGAATCACTAAAACTGAAGATGACTGCTGCTTTCTTATGCTTTCCTCTTCTGGTTTTAATGCTCTTATTTTATTTTTATATGTTATATTTCAGCACTTTTTTATTATTGATCACCCTGATTGTTTTTATTAGCAAGTAGTATCTAAATGCTGTAAGTAAAACAAAATAACAACTTACTTCCTGAGCGTTTTCTAGGTGCAATACATATAATTTTTTCTTTATTGCACCAAGTTGCATTAAATCACATGAAACCCACTTGCAGTCTTTGTACTTACACTGAGATGGCAGTACCAGCAAAGCAATGCTGGATAGGAACAGTAGGCATGGTATCTCCGATGTATGATCATTTTACCGAGATGAAAGTAATATTTTCATTATCTGAAACTGCATTTGCCTAAAATAAACTTTTAAATACTATTGTTATAATAATAATTACTTTATTAGATTGCTTTATTGGATTGCTGAAAACAGATTCTCCATTGGTTGTTGAACTCCTATTCATATCTAAGTTTAAAAGCTGCAGAGTGAAGAAGCTGGCTTCCTAAGTGCCAGTTGTTAGTTGCCCAGTTTCCACAGGATGGCAGCAAATGTTCAATAGAAATCAAGCAGATCAAACATTTCTACCCTAGGATGTCCCTTTTCCATTTCAGAAGATGGGCCTGATGGATCTGAGTATGAGACACACTGAGATGCTGTCAAAGTGAAGATATTAAGAATGTTTTGGCTGCTTTCAACTGTTGTTACTAAATGATAATGTTTAATATAACAACAGTTAAACAATTGCCTCATAATCATAAGAATACTGGCTGCAAATGATAAAAATTTGAATTTAGTTTTGTCCAACGCAACAGGTCTTACTTCTGATGCAGTTCACTGTCATGCTTCTTAAAGAGCATGGAGAGCTTTTGATTGGGAAGATGTTGACCCCCTCCTTTACCAGAATAACCAGCTTAATGAATTTTGGAAGGAAGAGGTTGAGTGATTGAAAGTGGGCACGTTTGATGTAATAATATAAGTCAGTGTTTCTCAACCTTGGCAGCTTCCCAGTCAACTCTGAGTTCTAATGCTGGCTGAAGAATTCTGGGAGTTGAAGTCCACACAGCTTAAAACTGCCAAGTTTTGAGAAGCACTGCTCTAAGTAGAATCTCAAGCGTCAGTTGCATTAAGCAATAATGTTGGTTCTCTGTGTATGGCAGATGGATGAAGCACCCCTTTCCTATCTACTATGTAATGCATATAGAAATTTGCATTACTGTAATTAAAGCAACAAGAATCTACAGATGCCATAGATCAGTGGTGGTGAACCAATGGCATGCGTGCCAGAGGGGGCACTCAGAGCCCTCTCTGTGGGCATGTGCGCTGTTGCTCCAGCCCTGCCTTCCCCCACGCCCCCTCCTCACAGCAGCCCCCTGGAGGAGAGTCGCCCCCAGGCGTGGCCCGCATGGAGCAGCACAGCCAAGGATATGGCAGCCGGGCAGCGGGGACAAGACTCCGCCTTCGTGCCCCATCACGCGCAGATAATGCTGCGGGGCGTGGGTGGAGGGCGTGGCCACCATGGCACTGCTGGGCCGCCTGGGCGATCTGTGGTGGGCCATGGAGGCGGTGGGTGGCCCTGCAGGTGGGCGGGGTAGAGGCAGGACCAGGGGGGCGGGTTTGGGGTACTCGGTCTCTAAAAGGTTCACCATCACTGTTATAGACTAACTTCTATCCAGTTAGGCCAGACTTTGACTTTCCCTATCTAACTCCAGATTTAATCAGTGCTAGGTAGCCCTCTTATTTCTGTAGTGCTGATTTCCCTAATTGATTTCTTCCATCAATGCAATCAATTTGGCCATCTCAGCAAGTTTCATCATATTCATCATATTACCCCTTCACTGTGGGTAAAGTCCAAGCTTTCTACCTTTCTGGACTGACAACTGGTTGCTTAACAACTGTTTGAAGTTACAGTGAATCCTGAAAAAGGTACCTTATGACCCTGTTTCAAAGTTCTGATGTCTGTCCGCCTGTAGTCACATGGTTTTATTTTGGGTGCTCAGCAACCAGCTCACATTTACGGCTTGTTGCAGTGCCCTGTGATCCCATGATTGTGATTTATGATGTTTTTGTGGGAAACCAGCATTTACTTCTGTTTCTGACAAAAAAAACACCCCATAGTAAACAAAACCATGGCATTTGCTTCATGATCACTGTGTTTGCTTAATGTCTGGTGCAAAAAGGTCCAGTCATGGTGCCAAAATTGGGTTCGATCATATGACCCACTTTACGATGTTCATGACTTACAACTATAATTGGAGCTTCAATTACAGCCATAAATCAAGGATTACCTATATTAATCTCATTTGTAGTTGTCATACAGTGTATTAAAAAAAATCCATGATTTTTTTCTAGCTGCTTATCCATCATTCCAAAATAAAAATATCTGGTTTCAGTTGTATATGAATCTTTAAAATATTCTGTACTATTAATTGGCTTTTTTTACATGTCCACCAAACGTGAGAAAATGCCCCTTCTTTTTGATTATATTCCCAGAATATGTTTGAGGAACTTTTATACATTCTGTCTTTCAGTATCTTCTAAGATATATCTTAAAGTTTCTTTCAGTGCTCTCTTAACATTTATTAATTCCATTCACTTGTATGAAAGAAGTAAAGCAAGGAACCAGGTATACAGATGAACAGTTCAGAAAACATTAAATTCAGTATTAATTTTCATAAGCAAAGACTCTCAAACTCTTTTCTAACACAGCATAGGAACTAGAAGCCCACTAAGAAACTTCTAGGTGTGGCTGCAGGGAGGAATAGCTACAGAATATCTGAAACAGCCCTCCTAAGGGGTGAAATTTTAATTCACGTAATCTATGAGCTAGCATATCATAAAAGAGAAGGTTTTAAGTAGTTGCCTTTCTTGCCCCTAGTTATCTTTTATGTAGAGAAACCAAGAACTGATTGTGGGGCCTTTTGCACTCAAAGCATATGCAAAATAGCACATAGTGGAAACCTTTCCACTATATGCTTGTATAGATGCTTCATCTTTGTTCTTTCAGAGTGAGAAGTTCACACCCACATTCTTTCCCATGTCTTACAAATATTGATCATTGACTAAAATAGGGGTTGTCCTTCAAGAAAACAAAGCATATAGTTCTATAAGAAAGACAGGTGTCTTTGGAAAGGCATGGAGCACATTCTTTTGAATGTTAATGAGGTGCACACATTTGGCAGTGAACTTTATACCTGCTTTAACTCCTAATATGGTTTCTCCAAATTGAATAGGCTACAGCTCCCAGAACTTCCCAGCCAGCTTGGCCACCGCTGATGACTTGGGGAATTGGATCATAGAAACAGAAAGGCATCCAGATCGGAGGAGATTATTTATACTATGTCAGTTCACAATAAAAAAACCTTGATATTTGGCTAGGACTTAAGTCAGCAGGTTGAGGAAATATAATCTAGCACCTTAAGTAATTATAATTAGAATATTAGCCATGTTTCAGTAATAAGCAAGTACTACTGCATGATAGTTTTTCCGCAGTTGTTTCTTAGATTTCCCCCCCCCCCCCCAGAGGGTCATGAATTCCTTTGACATGCATTCAGACTGTTGCATAGATCAGAGGCACGAAAGGTGGTGTGATGTGGGAAGCCATTTCCTGAAATGGTGTACAGGAACTAAAACCAACTTCAGC